AGCATTTTAATGTGGCATCAGTTATAGAGGAGATGAGAGAAGGCTGACTCCGCTGGCATGGACATGGCCTGAGAGCAGCACCTTCCACCATGGAGGCCAAGACTGTCGACCCACTAGATATCAATGGCCAGGGACCTTGTGGGCATCCAAAACAGAGATGGCAAGACGGCCCAGAGTCGCAGCTGACTGTGCAAAGTGGCATTCAATGAACCAAAAAGTGGACCCTGCACCTGCGGGAATAAGCTAGGGAAGAGGAGGAGGAGGAGGAAAGGAGGAAGAAAGGAGGAGGAAGAAAGGAGGAGGAGGAAAGGAGGAAAGAAGGAGGAGGAAGAAGAGGAAAGGAGGAAGAAAGGAAGAGGAGGAGGAGGAGGAGGAAAGGAGGAGGAGGAAGAAAGGAGGAGGAGGAAAGGAGGAAGAAGGAGGAGGAGGAAAGGAGGAAGAAAGGAGGAGGAGGAGGAGGAAAGGAGGAGGAGGAAAGGAGGAAGAAAGGAGGAGGAAAGGAGGAAGGAGGAAGAAGAAAGGAGGAGGAGGAAAGGAGGAAGGAGGAAGAAAGGAGGAAAGGAGGAAGAAAGGAGGAGGAAGCAAGGAAGAGGAGGAAAGGAGGAAAGGAGGAGGAGGAGGAAAGGAGGAGGAAAGGAGGAAGAAAGGAGGAGGAAAGAAGGAGGAGGAAGAGGAAAGGAGGGAAAAGGAGGAGGAGAAAGCAAGGAAGAGGAGGAAAGGAGGAGGAAAGGAGGAAGGAGGAAGAAAGGAGGAGGAGGAAAGGAGGAAGAAAGGAGGAGGAAAGGAGGGAGGAAGAAAGGAGGAGGAAAGGAGGAAGGAGGAAGAAAGGAGGGAGGAAGAAAGGAGGAGGAGGAGGAGAACCCTAACTTAACAACTGTAGTGATTCACTTAACAAATGTGGCAAGAAAAGCCGTAAAATGGGGCAAAACTCACTTTAACCAATGTCTCATTCAACAACAGAAACTTTGGACTCAACTGTGGTCGTACCACTCATTGCAATAGAGCTCCTATTTAGGATAAATGCCAGGCTACCATGAGCCAACCGAGCCAAAACTGGCGAATCCACCAGTATCTGCCCATTTCTGGACTGGGAGGCCCTGCTCGCTGCCACTCCTGCCCTCTTGCCACCTCTTGCTTAGATGGCTGCAATCGGCTCTAAATGGAGCCACTCTGAAGGGCATTCGGAAAACGTCAACTGGTGCAGAACGCAGCTGGTTGGGTAGGAAATAGAGTCCATCCTCGACTTGCGACCACAACGGAGGCCAAAATTTCTGCTGCTAAGTGAGACATTTGTTCACTTAGAATTTGGCCCCCGTTTACGACCTTCCTTGCCACTGTCGTTAAGCAAATCACTACGGCGCGTTGCTTTAACAGCTGTGGCCAAAGCAGTCATAAAATCGGGTGTGCTTCTCTTAACAACGGTGTTGCTCAGCGCCAGAAATCCTGATCCCAATTGTTGTCGTAAGTCGAGGATTAGTCGTAATTAACGAAGTTTATACGAAGCTGCTTTCTCCAGTCTGAATGGCCCTTGCAGGTCTGGACTTCAGTTCCCAGAATCCCCTGCTTCTAGGGCACCAGATTTGGAGAAACCAGTGTTTAAAATGTTTTATAAAAAGGCAAAAATTGCCTAAAGCGACCCTAGGATGCCCTGTCACACACACACACACACACACACACACACACACACACACACACACCCATCAACCACAGCTAAGTAAGTGCAACGCATAAACCTACTTCTTATGATGGCTTAGCCATCCTGCCTGTAAAATACAGGTATAACTTGGCTTGACCCAAAATTTCTGTGCCTAAATGAGACAAGTTAAGTGTGTTTTGCCCACTTTACAACCTTCTTGCCACAGTTGCTAAGTGAATCACCGCCCAAAATTTCTGCTGTTAAGTGAGACATTTGTTTAAGTGAGTTTTGTCCCATTTTATGGCCTTTCTGGCCATGGTTGTTAAGTGAATCACAGCAGTTGTTAAATGAGGTTGTTAAGCGAATCAGGCTTCCCCGCCGACTTCGCTTGTCAATGAAGGTCACCAAAGGGGACGCTGCCACCGTCGTAAGTATGAATCAGTTGCCAAGCGTCTGAATTTTGCCACAGTTGTTAAGCAAATCACAGTGGTTCTTAAGTGAGTCACCCGGTTGTTAAGTGAATCCGGCTTCCCCGTGGACTTCGCTTGTCGGATCTAAACTGGCAACAGCCCACCGCTGCTCCTCATCAATCATCCATCAGAATAGGGCTGGAAGGGACCTTAGAGGTCTTCTAGTCCAGCCCCTTGCTTGAACAGGAGAACCTATTCCAGTGGTGGCGAACCTTTTACTCACCGAGTGCCAAACAGGTACGTCCTTCGTGAGCGCACGCCATCTGCGCTGATGCGCGGCTCCTCCCCATGCATTGCGCGCCCAATTGCACCAATTGCCCATGCACAGAATTTTTGTCCATGCCCGCACCATGCATTGCACACACAATCCCACCATCTGCGCATGCATGCATGTTTCGTGTGGCTCCCCCATGCACTGCGCACACAATCCCACCATCTGTACATGTGCACAGGTTTCGCGTGGCTCCCCCTCGTGCGCTGCCCACCAATTGCACTATTTGCACAATGCATGTGGTTTTCGTGTGTGCAATGCACACCCACAAATGCTGTCTGTGCATGCATGCGCAGGAGAGCTCCGAAGACCAGCTGGGTCCCCTGAATTGCATGCATGCACACTTGGTGGCCTGAACACCAGCTGAGATGCGCGCACATGCGTGACTACAGTTGAGTCGGGCGACAGCTCGCGTGCCCGGAAAAATGGTTCTGTGTGTCACTTCCAGCACGCGTGTCATAGGTTTGCCATCACGGACCTATACCATTTCAGACCAATGGCTCTCCTGTCTCTTCTTAAAAACCTCCAATAATGAAGCAACCACAAATTCTGGTGGCAAGCAGTTCCACTGGTTTATTGTTATCACTGTTAGGAAATTTCTCCTGAGTTCTAAGTTGCTTCTCTCCTTGGTTAGTTTCCATCCATTGCTTCTTGTCCTGCCTTCAGGTGGTTTGTAGAATAATTTGAACCCCTCTTCTTTGTAGCAGCCCCTCAAATATTGGAAGTCTGCTATCAAGTATCCCCTACTCCTTCTTTTCTCTAGACTGGCCAAACCCAAATCCTGCAACCGTTCTTCATATGTTTTAATCTCCAGGCCTTTAATCATCTTAGTTGCTCTTCTCTGCACTTTTTTTTAAAAAATTTGATTTATATGCCGCGCTTCTCCGGAGACTCAGGGTGGTTTACAGTGCGTTAAGTAATAGCCTTCATCCTTTTGTATATTTATACAAAGTCAGCTTATTGCCCCCACAAACCGGGTCCTCATTTTACCCACCTTAGAAAGGATGGAAGGCTGAGTCAACCTTGAGCCTGGCGGGATTCGAACCTGCAGTAATTGCAGGCAGCTGGTCTTAATAACAGGGTGCTTTAGACCACTGTACTACCAAGGCTCCTTTTCCAAAGTCTCAACATCTTCTTTGTAAACACAGTGACCCAAACTGGATGTAGTAGTCCAGGTGTGGCCTTACTAAAGCTTTACAAAGCGGTACTAACACGTCACGTGATTTTGATTCTACGCCTCTTGTTTAACACAACCAAGGATTGTATTAGCCTTTTTGGCTGCTGTTGCACAGCGCTGGCTCCTATGACCCCTCCGGCAATCCCTTCCCACTAGCCAAAAACAAACGATGCCCAAAGGGATAAAATGCCACACTGGCCCAACAGACGTAACACACAACTTCCATCTCCCTGGGGAACGACTAGCCATCATCCTCCCCAAACTCCAGGGTTCTTTGTTGGGTGCTGGACTACAACTCCCATCGTTCTTGCCTGGGCTGGGGGCGGCAAGGGTGGGGATGGGGGCTAACAGTGCAACCGTCCACCTGGCCGACGGATCTTTTGAGTAGTCCAAGCGAAAGCAGGAGACTTGGAGAAGTCGTAAAGCGAGGCTCAGATCACGTTCTCACCCTCCGGCCGCCAGCACGTGATGCGAGTCCAGTTTTGGCCAGCTGGACTCGTGGAAGGGTGCGGGACCCTCGAGGACCCGGGCCGCGCCCCCCCACCCCCACCCATGGCCATGGATCATCAGTAGACATCCTTGGAGGGGGAGGGGGCCAGGCGCCCCCCCTCCCGCCTGCGAGGGGGCGGGGGGCAACGCTTTGACTCCTCCACCCGGGGGTCTCCAGCAGAAAATGGGGCTGGGGGGGGGGGAAGGCCGAGAAAAAAAAAACACAACCCAAGGAACGCCAGAAGAGCAGAGGGTCCCGCAGCGTGCTCAACCCTGCTTGCCCACGGAATTGCCCCCCTCCTCCCCTAGGAAACCCCCCTCCCCCACGTCCGGCGACCTACCTGGCAGGGTTGTCGGGGATCCCCACCCCCCCCACCCCTCTCTCTCCACCAGGAAAACTAAGCTTTGCTCAAGCAGGGCGGGAACCAGCTCGCCCACCCCCCCCAAACCCCCAAATGCCCACCTCCGGGATGCGCTGAGCGGAGACCGGGATGCCGGCTGGAGGGCGGGCAGCCCAGGTGCTTTTCCGCCCCTTCGCAGCCCGGGAAAGCAGGGGGGGCAAAGGGGGGAGGGGGTTTTGCAGGCGGGGGGGGTGCAGGGGAGCCAGGCAAGCAGAAGAGGGGAGAGGTCCTCCCTAGAGCCCAGCTGCCCCCTTCCCCACTTTCTCTCTCTCTCTGCAGGGCACAGCCAAGCAGGCGCCCACCGGATCAAAAGGGGCGCCTGGGGAGGGCGGGCAGCAGGGGGGATCCCCCAAACTGGCACCGCCCAAAGCCGGTCCTTGCCCCCCCCCACCCCTCCACCCCCGGCCAGACAAAGCAAGCCCGGCTGGAAAGCTCCCCCTGCCCGGCTCCGGCTGGGGATCTCCTGGTTCCCCTTTTTTGCTCCGCAGCGCTGAGTTTCTCGTCTACCGGCCAGGTTGGGCTCTCCTCTCCTGCTGCTCCCGCCGCTTCTCCCTACCTGCTCCGCCGCCGCTGCCAGGCGTGACTTTTTCTTTTCTTTCTTTTTCTTTTTTTCCTTTTCCCGGGTTTCGAATCGGAAGCGGGCGAAGCCCAAACCCGCCCTGCGAACCTGGGCGCCGACTTAACCCTCCGCGCGCTGCGCCTTCCTGCGCGAAAGCCCAGCCGTGGCCAGGATGGGTTGGGTTGGGCGACCCCTCCCCTCGGGCCAGGCGGGAGGGGGAGGGGATGGGAGGGCAAAGCACGCCCCCCCTCCCCCGCCGGCCCTTCCCCTCCCCTCCTTTCCCTTCCCCAACCTCCCTCCTCCTCCTCCTCCTCCCCCCAAGTCCGTAATCCTCCCTGGTCCGGGGCAAGGACAAAGAGGCGGATCTCCAGGTGAATGCGTTTCCCTGCTGGGGGTGGGGGGGAGAGAGAGAAAGAGAGAGAGAGAGATTGAGAGGAAGGAGCTGCCGGCCTGGGCCAGGCTTCCTCTCCCCCTCTCCCCCCCAAATAGCCTGGAGGTGGGGGGGGGAAAGGCAGGATTTAGGTAAAGGCAAAAGAGCGATTTGCATTAAGAAAGTGGCACTCCCCCCATCCTTATTTGCCTGGAGGCCTTCCTTTCCTTCCCTCCCCCCAGGACCTAGGCAGAGCCCCCCCCCACCGGGGAAGGAGGGTCCTTGCAGGGCGGGGGGACAGGGGGGTTTCTTTGCAATCCAGAAAAGGCAGCCCCTTCCTCCCACTTTGGAGAGGTTTTTTTTTTAACTCAGGTGAAGTTTTGGGGTGCAGGTTGCAAGCAGGATCAATCAGGAGTGGTTGCGTTCCTTGGCTGCTTAGATATTTTTTTGGGGGGGGGTCTCTGCTCTGGAGCCTTAACAAGGCAGGGGGCAGAAAAAGCGAAGATTTGGGCAAGCCTCCCCCGCCCCCCCAAAATTGCAGGAATCGAGAGAATGGAAACCCACCAAGTCCTCGCCCAAAAGATTCAATCCTAACTAGGCCTGCCAGGTTGCAGAGTCGAAACCGAAAGTCGTAAGCAGGGGGAGCTGAAATGCAGGGTGGGGGAGGGCTGCAGGCTGGGGAAAGACCCTGAGAGTCTACCCCTCTCTGCAATCCCCTGCAATCAAGCGGGAGATCCTCTTTGGATCTCCAGATCCAGTGAGGCTGAGAAGCAAAAGGCCCCTTCTTGTCTTCCAGCAGGAGGTTATAAAAATGCACCTCCGGGTTTTAAAATTCCACATTCCCAATTAGCCCCTGGGGCTAAAGGGGGAGGGGGTTGCTCAATGGATAGGAATCGCCCAGGGCAAGGTCTGGTTTACACAGCCCAGGAAAGAAAGACCAGCTGGATTCTCGCTGATTGCAAAAAAGCCGGAATTAGGAATCTGCAGCGCCTTCTCCAAGGAACCAATCTGATTAAAATCCAGAAATTTCGGTGCTCTCTTGATTCCTACAAGACGCTGAACACAAAACGTGTCAGCTTTGAATAAAGGAGAATATTTGTAGCTCAGGGTTGACATTGAGGGGCCCTTGGTGCTATACTAGAATATAAAACCGTCGGCAAACATCACTTCTTACTAGCACTGATGAGGTTCCCTAGTTGAGTCGTAAAACGTCTGCAGGAAAACAAGCAAGCTCAGAGAACAAGCAGGATTCCTCATGTCAGCCGTTGTTTAGCTTGATTTACATCAGTATTTCTCAACCTTGGTAGCTTGAAGATGGGTGGACTTCAACTCCCAGAATCCCCCACAAGCTTCCAAGGTTGAGAAACACTGATCTACATCGTTGGAATCCACTCGATTTTTACCCCAAACCTCATTTATCCAAAGTCCACGGGAAACCAGATTTGCTCAAAAACTGCATTGCTAATTTAACAAATGCAGCGATTCACAAACAAATGTGTCATAAAAAGTCAATTTTTAAAAAATTCTGAATTTTGGACACAATTTTTGTTGTCAGCCGATAAATTACCTGTACTTTTCCACCACTCCAGATATTTGGAAGGGGGGGGGGACAAGGGAATGAAAACGAGCTATGCAATCCATTTTTGTTTCCGTGATGATGTCATGGCATGTAGGATGTAGTCCTGCCTGGTGAGTGTTTTGTCTCAAGCCATTTCTGATGTAAATTAATTTCATTTCAGGATTGGGATGATTAGGGGTCTGGAGGAGAACATTTGCAGGAATTGGGTACATCCAGTTTAATGAAAAGGAAGTTCACAGTTCACCAAAAAAAAATAAAAAATAGGGGTGACATGATAGCAGTATTTTAATATTTGAGGGGCTGCCACAAAAAGGAACTTATTTTCCAAAGCACCAGAAGGCAGGACAAGAAAACAACGGATGTAAACTAATCAAGGAGAGAAAAAACCTGGAATTAAGGAGGAATTTCCTAACTGTGAGAACAATAAACCAGTGGAACTGCTTGCCACCAGAAGTTGTGGGTGCTCCAACACTGGAGGTTTTTAAGAAGAAACTGGACCGCCACCTATCTGAAGTGTCTCCTGCTTGACGGGGCTGGACTAGAAGACCTCCAATGTTCCCTTCCAGCTCTATTCTCATTAAGTGATTGATTCAGAAAATGCATACGTGATAGCAGTATTTCAATATTTGAGGGGCTGCCACAGAAAAGAGAGGGTCGCCTTATGGTCCAAAGCCCCTAAAGGCAGGACAAGAAGCAACGGATGGAAACTAATCAAGGAGAGAAGCAACCTGGGATTATGGAGAAATTTCCTGACAGTCAGGACAATCAACCAGTGGAACTGCTTGCCACCAGAAGTTGTGGCTGATCTTCGTCACTGGAGGTTTTCAAAAATAGACTAGACAACTGTTTGACCAGGATAATATAATGTCTCCTGCTTTGAGACACTAGATGACCTCCAAAGTCCCCTCCAACTCTTATTCGGCTCTGTTGTCCAAAGCACCTGAAGGCAGGACAAGCAGTAACAGAAAGGAAACTTATCAAGGAGAGAAGCAACCTAGAATTATGGATAAATTTCCTGACACTGAGAACAATTCATCAACTGGAACTGCTTGCCTCCAGAAGTTGTGGGGGCTCCATCCCTGGAGGCTTTTAAGAAGAGACTGGACAGCCGCTTGTCTGAAATGGTCTAGAACAGTGATGGGTAACCTTTTTGCCGTCGCGTGCCAAAAGCGGGGGCAGCGCAGGGGGTTTGCGCATGTCCGTGCCCACACCCATAATTCAATGCACCCCGCACATATGCGCGTGACCTCCCCCGCGCTCCCCCCACGTTTGGCACGCGATGGCACGGTAGGCCCGTTTTTCGCCCTCCCCAGGCTCCAGAGGCTTTCTTGGAGCCTGAGAAGGGTGAAAACGGCTTCCCCACCCCCACTCCGGAGGCCCTCTGAAGGCTGAAAACAAACCGTTTCCCGACTTCGGTGGCCCGGAAGGCCCATTTTTCACCCTCCCCAAACTCCAGAGGCTTTCTAGGAGTCTGGGGAGGGCGAAAACTGCCTTCCCCACCTCCCCGGAGGCCCTCTGAAGGCTGAAAACAACCCGTTTCCCGACTTCTGGTGGCCCGGAAGGCCCATTTTTCACCCTCCCCAAACTCCAGAGGCTTTCTAGGAGTCTGGGGAGGGCGAAAACTGCCTTCCCCACCTCCCCGGAGGCCCTCTGAAGGCTGAAAACAACCCGTTTCCCGACTTCTGGTGGCCCGGAAGGCCCATTTTTCACCCTCCCCAAACTCCAGAGGCTTTCTAGGAGTCTGGGGAGGGCGAAAACTGCCTTCCCACCTCCCCGGAGGCCCTCTGAAGGCTGAAAACAACCCGTTTCCCGACTTCTGGTGGCCTGGAAGCCCCATTTTTCACCCTCCCCAGGCTCCAGAGGCTTTCTAGGAGTCTGGGGAGGGCGAAAACTGCCTTCCCCACCTCCCCGGAGACCCTCCAGAGGCTGGAAACAGGTGGTGACTTCTGGTGGGCCCAGAAGGACAGAAAATCATGCGTGCTGGAGCTGAGCTAGGGCAATGCTCGCGTGTCCACAGATACGGCTCCGCGTGCCACCTGTGGCACGTGTGCCATAGGTTCACCATCACGGGTCTAGGGAGGGGGCTGGACTAGAAGACCTCTAAGGTCCCTTCCAACTCTTGTTATGCTGCTAAGAAAGCCCGTCAGAGCCTACCTGAGCAGGTTTTTGTAGCGCAACAAAATTCTTTCCAAACACACATCGACACCCACACAGGAAGGGTAGTATGTTTGGTGGGGGGGGTCATGAGGTAAAACCTAGAGGTATAGCCCCCCCCCCCCCCCCCAGGAACAATGATTCTTCTTTTCTCACAAATCAACAGGGTTTATGAAAGTTTAGGTAAATGTTGTCTTTGCGGATAATCATCTGTTTTTATGCATATCAACTTCCTGCTTCTTGTAAAAGACTGGAGTAAAAATTGTGACAGGACTTTTTAATAAGATCATTATCTTTTATTACATTGGCACCTTCACCATGGATATTCTCAATTGTTCTCTTTTTCCTTTCTTAATTTTATTTATTTATTATTTATTTATTTATTATATTTCTATCCCGCCTTTCTCCTGTAGGACTCAAGGCGGTGTACAGTCAAGAAAAATATAGATACACAAACATCATAAAATTGCTATTTAAAATTATTATTATAACATAGTTTGGCCCAATTAAATAGAACCTAAAATTAGATAACATTTTAAAAACATTCACATGTTATTTGTATGCCATCTTTCTGGTTTATTTGCAAACTCAGAATGTTTTTTGTTTTGCATGAATCAGTTTGGTTTCTGTTTCTTGAATTGTTCAGCTAGAAAGTTGATGAAGTAACTGTTTAATTGGATGTAAAATTTTAGAATCCATTGGTGCCCTTTTGCAATTCTGTTTCTTTCTTTCTAATTTCATCCAATGTCTTTGACACCTTTTCCTGGGATTTTATCTTCTCTAGATCATAATATTGCATAAAATAGCCCTCATGACGGCTTTACTGGCATCCCAAACACTCATTAAATATGTCCCTTTATCCAGGTTATTATCAAAATATTCGTTTAATTCCTTTTTTTATGGTCCTTAACAACCATCTCCTTTCAATTGATATCCATCTATAATTCAGGATCTTTTTTTCTAAGTACCAAAAGAACTGGATTATGGTCAGAGAAAGTTTTACGTAAGATATCGACTTTTGAAATTTTATTCACAAGACACTTTAGAAATCC